ATTTCAACACCGTGAAGGCTCTATCCCTTCCATCCATCCCCAGGTCACAAGCAGCTTTTCGGAAGGGCTCTTCCTCTCAACAGCTGAACCCCATCCGTCTCGGGGATGAGATGCCCCAGGCCGCACTCCGTGACTGGCAGGAAGTGCCGCGGTTCCCCAGCTCATGCGGTCTGAGCTCTTGGCTTGCAGACTGCAGTTGGAAAGAGGAATAATTCGTACTTGGCTGCTGGACAAGCAGAACATCCATCAACACAAGATCCAATTCTTAAAATTTAGGGAGCAAAACAGAGCCTGGGGAAGCCTGAGACTCAAGCTAGTGGCCCACACAGTGTGGACAAGCCACTCTAGCAAGGTGCTGCACCCAAGTCTATGAGCCACTACTTGTCAGGAGGCTGTGCTGGACCAGCACCAGCATACCCTGGCTAGAATATGCCTGCAGAGCTCCCAGCTCGGATCTCTCTCACCTCAGAGCCCCTGAATTCCTGGTTCTACAATTACAGTCGGAGGGAGTTTGGATCTGGCTGCACCACATGAAGTCTAAACCTTACAGATCTCTAGGGAGAGTAGCCCAGCTCTTAAGTGACTCGAGTAAAATTGAAGACAGGGTGGGGACAATGTTAGGTTATGTAACAGGAACACCAGTCAACAAAAGTCTTTGAAACGTTACAGGGCTCCTCTTCTTAGGAGCAAACAAGCAAGTTTTATTTCAGGCTGAAACTAAATAAAAATACAATTTACCTAAATCCTGTCTTAGCTCTACCTTGTTAATGTAGTCTCAAACAGCAGAATAGGACTAACGAGTACAGGCAGAGGCCACCTCCAATCCACCACACTGCAGACCCAGAGTCAAGGTGTTTGGGATCAAGACCTTTAAGCAAGCAAATTTTGACTGAGAACAATTTCTGAACAAACCTGGCCTGATCCGGCAGCCAACACTGAGAAGCAAGGACTTCCTCTGGGGCTCTGGGAGCCTCCACACTCTGACACATATAGGCCATTTTCAGACTTTGAAGAGTTACTGCTCTGTGGATTCTTGGACTGATTCGCTTTTCTCAGTCAAGAATTCAGACCGCTGTGTTTGACAGCAAACTCCCCTTCCCTGGGCGATACAACATCAAATCAACGGCTGAAGCCATCTTACTTTGTTTTCACTGGCCAACAATTGGGAACATTTGTTGTCCTCTGTCAAATTTCTACGTGAAATGTTAAGCTCTACGCTAATTAAACCAAACAGGAAAAACATTTTTATATTCTCATGCAACTATTCACTCCTGGGTCCAAAGGACAACCTCAACCTCTTCCAAAGTGTACGTACAGTTCCCTTCGCCCTGAAATTCAAGTCAGCTCCCAAAGCACGGACTGGGTGTTTAGTTAGAAAGATCAATGCTACCACGGGCAAATACGCACCACTTGGTAGATGAAAGAAATCAAAGAGATGGGCACTGAGAGACTCTGGAATTCCCAGCCTTTCAAGTGTAAGATTTAGATAATCCAGGGGCCAGCAGACTCTCTGAGAGACTTCAACTGGCCGGGCTTCAACATCGCCTCCCCTCTCACTACAGCGACCAGGAGTTTTCAGCATCTGACTGGAGTTCTTGGAGCTACTGTTTCAGGGTTCCTGCAAACTTGAGAAGACATAGTTACAATAGCATATCTGTCTTCCTAAGGGCTATGAACTGTTGCTTTCTATAAAAGCTGAAGCTTTCATCAAACATCACCGAGAAATGAACTTATCCTTACCTCAAATCCAGCCCTGTGCAGATACAACAGTAAGCAGTCTTTACAGCACCAAAGCAACAAAGGCAGTCGAACTGACACTTGGATATTTTTGTAGTAGAAAACATTCTGTAAAAAACTTACATTAGACAAGTTTTGACGCTGTCAGCTCATCCTTCTGCCACAAAAAAAGAGACAGAGAATTTATCTTAAGGGCTGCTTTCTCTGGAGTTCAGGAGAACCTTTCAGCCAGGTCAAACCTTCCAAATCCTTCCTTATTTTTTTGCCACTTTCATGTCAAGAAAACACAGAAACTCAGTTTGGGATTTCAGAATTTCAATTTGACACAGCAATTCACTACCTTTTTTGGGGTGCAGGGGGTGAGAGCCAAAAGGGCAAAGGGGGCAGTGGGTGGCAGAGGAGAGGAAAAAGCTTGCTCTGCTCTGTTGCAAAATAGCAAACAAAAGAACTCTGTGGTAGTACAATGTGTTGCTAATTACGATCGTGCAAAAAGTTCCTTTTGTCTTGTGAGCTGTGGAGGATTGCAGTGATTTATTTCCACGTGGAGAGAGGCCAAAGATATTCCTCCTCTCTTTCAAACAGGCTGCACGTTTCTTGGTCCTGTGCCGGCTGGTGCCTCCTCCCTAGCCTTGCCTACTGCTTCGGGCTACGCCAGGGACTCAGGTTCTACCCCGACTCCGGTCGATCCCGTTATACGGACCTGGGCAAATCCAGTGGTGGAAGCTTCTTCCCTTCCTTCCTCCTGCCTAAAGTCAAGGCCAAACCATTTATTGATGTTTGTAAACTTTGTATTGAGTGTTGGGATTTAGCTAAAAGACTGGCTCTGGCAGCACAGCCCGCTGAAGAAGTTTCCTATTATCCCTTGCCCACCAATTCCCAGGCCAGTTCCATACTTCAGCCCCCTGGGGTTGGCCAACAGAAGTGCTTGTGGGTCTCCGCTATAAACTTAAGTTAACCGAAGTGATTCAGGTTAAAAATAACTCCCAACCAAAGGCAATTAATCATTTAACAATCCTGCCTACTCCCTGCCATAGCTGGGAGGGCCTTGGGGAAAGAGGACAGCAGTGTAGATGAATTCTTCTGGCACACAATTACGGGGCTACGGGAAAGGAGCTGAGAAGGGAAATGTGGCCCCTTTCTGAGAGAAACCCGAAGAAAACAGAGCCTTGGATGCCGAGGGCCAATTCAAATCTCCCAGCACTTAACCCCGAGCATCCACTCTTCCGACACCTGGTTTGGTCCCAAAACAACATAGTGGCAGATGGATTTCTGCAACGTCTCCGCTAGAACATGGGGGCTCTCTTCAACCTCTCATTGCAGAACAGTAAACGTAGCCACTTTCAATATTTTGCTGGGGAGAATGAAAGATGTGTTTGTCCTCTGACAGAATGAGTAATGCTGACCCCTGATACAGCACAGGCCAAGCCAAACACCACTTTGATTTCCCTGGCAGCAGAAGCGGTGCCGTTCAGATGCAGGGTAGATGAGGGGAAGGACAGCTATAGATAGGGGAGCATGCTAGGTCTCCTATTTAATTGTGCTTCACACACCAATCGATATAAGAACACATGGCTCAAGGTGGTAACTGAGGCTGCTGCCCCGTCCTGGCAGGCTGCAAACGAGATCAAACCCTCTTTTGTACAGTAGAACCACCGCACGTTCCAAATATTGAGGCTGGTAGGCAGAAAGTGCTCGAAAGATTCCTCTTTGCCCACCTTTAGGGGTCTCTGACTCAAGGCCTCCAGGACAGAGCCCACTTCTCGTGTTCTCTCCTTAATCAGTTCCTTGTTTCACGGAGCACTGAGCTCACAGGGGTTTAAAGCACAGACAAAGCTAAGACAGCTAGGACAGGCCAGCACAGTTGAACATTTTATCATTCATTTGCACAAAATGTCCAAATATGTGCACGCAATCCAAAGGCATATTTCTGGGAGCTGGCAGCCCGTGAAGTCTGCTAGTGTCCCTCAGGAGAAACTTATGCAACACACATTTGGAATCCATCAGCAAAAAAACCCCTGATTTCATGGACTCTGCAGCAAAGGTCAGATTTGCAAAGGTGTTGAGACGTTTAACCATGCGTGGAAGCATGCCCTGTCCATGCTATCCCTCCAAAAAAACAAAACAAAATGAAACCTTGGCTAAACTAACAGCAGTTTTCTTCTGATGGTAATGCTGTGTCCCTGCTACAGGTTTTGTATAACCTTATTTCCCAAATACTCTATCAGACCTGAATCAAAAGCTGTTTGTTGTCAGGTAGTTTCCATCTCTGCCACTGCACACTAAACTCTTTCAACATTAGACTCAGGGATTCCCCTCCCCTCCATTTCATTTCATTTTGGGAAAAATCTTTTCCTACTTCTATAAAGTTCTCAGCAAAAGAATAACTTAAAAAACAGAAGGAAATGCTTGCTAAAATAAAGTGGTTTTTTTTCCACCATCTACTCTCATTTCCCTCTTCATGACCCCAAATATTTTAACTGGTCTGTGGAGTTTCAATTTAAAATAAGTGCAGCACAAATAACTTTGTAATTGTGACAAATAAAACAGACAGTGTCACAGATAAAGATCACGGCTACCCATACAAAATGCTAAACGAGAAAGTAAGTCGTTTCATGAATTTACAGCTCCCAGAAACAATGGGTTAGATTTTCAAGACAGTTGAAGCCAAATAATTCTGCACTGGCATCCAAATAAAGTTTTCCAGAGTGCTCAGCTCTTAGCAGCTCTCGCTGTCCTCCAAGAGCACAAACTGATTTCTCAAAACTCTGAACTCAGATGCAGAAAACCTGCCCAAACACATGCTCCACTACTGCCTTCGTATTTAACGGTTTCTAGAGTGCCTAGCACTGATACTGATAATGCTTTTCTGGTGTTAGGAATACCTTAGCTCTTATACTTCCTTGGAAATGTTTAAATTGGCATCTGGTGACAAAAATCCCAGCAAATCCCATCCTCCTGTTGGGAAAACCACACTACCTTGACAGCAAGAAATAGCTCAGCTGGAAATTCTGCCCTGAGAAGAAATGAAAGAAGGTAACTGAGTCATGCCAGCTACTCCGAAAGGTAAACCAGTTACTCGCAGCGAACACCTGTTTACCTCACACATGACACACTAACTACGCCCTTCCTAAATCGCACATAACGAACAAAAAACACTCCAGGAAAATGGAGTACCCCTGTGAGGACAGAAATCCAGCCTGGAGATACTGTATTTTGCTTGCTGCATAAGCACTTTCTTAGTTCTTTCCAAAGATAGAGCTGAAAACAGAGGGTGTGAATGAATGGTTTTCATCCTAACAGCTTTGGGAAAGCACACCCTGTACCACAATGCTCAGCTGTAATCTCATGTTTGCAAACACCTTTAATTTAAGCTCTTAAATCATTGTCTTGGCTTGATCCAGCCATGTTCCTGAAGGATGAACTTCTTTCATTATGTATTTTACACATCATACATCTTAACAATAAAGTTAAGCTACTTTCTCTTGACAAAACATCTTATTTAGAAGCGGGTTATTTATTTACTCACTACCTCTTGGTTCATTTAGTTTTGCTCTGAGGAACAAGAATGTACCAATAAACCAGGATTTGAAGGAGAAAAGGATGTAGAGAAAAGGGAGAGAAAAGGATATAGGAGCAGCCAGGAAGAGTCAAAAGGACAAACACTTTAATAGTTCACATCAAATCCTGCATTTTTAACACCCTGTCGATTAACTAGACCTCCCACCTTCAAGACCCTCTGGGCAAAAGCTGAACATACAGTTACCACCACAAGCAAAACCAAAACACATACAAATTGTTCAGCTCCCTGTGAAACAATAATGCTAATTTCCTCCTTCTTGTCCCGGAACGAAATAAATTTAATGATTATCCCTGCTTTGGCTGGTATTTTCCAATATTCTTATCTAATCAACACATGCTCTAAAGAATAGCCAAAAGTAGCTTTAAGTGTTAAATTAACATTTGAATATTTAAATAAAGAATCAGTGGTGTAATGTGCTCCATCATTCTCAGTGAAAGCTGTAGAAAAGTTGGAGAGATGTAATTTTCAGACAACGCCTCAATATAATGCTGTGGTACACACTTCATTAGTTTATGAGGCACATATAATAACACTGATCTTGTTTTTTTTTCCTCTGAGAAGCAAAGAAATTTAAAAAAGCAAAGAAGTTAACATCGAATTTGATGTATCGCTTGGGACGGACTGAATTTTCATGAGTGGCAAAAGTCTGAAAAAAATTCAACAACCCCTGCAAGAGACTGTTCCCCAGACCTTTGAAAAATGTCACCATTAAAGGGAACCAGATAGAAAAGAAAAGTGTTAGCAAGGCCACTTACTGAGACTGAAGTCTGACACTAAGCAGACAGACTGTGATCAAAAGTATTTTGGCAAGATGGATGTAACACAAGGGGTAGGCCTCCAAAACAATTACATTCAATAATATCCTTAAAAAAAAAAATTAGGATTGAAAAAGCAATTCAGTGGAAAAAATGCACGAGGATGGATAGAGTCCTTATTTATTTATTTATAACCTCAAATCGTCAACCACTGGCAGGGTAAAACACTCTCCTACCATAGGATTAAAAATAGTACTGGCTAGAATTGTTTGTTGTAGATACCTTAACAAATTTAACTCTTCCTGCTCTTTGGCAAGTGCTTAACAAACAAATCTTGATTTCCCTAGAAGTATTCACTAGTAATTCTTCCGCGGTTTCTGCAAGACACGGACATACTATTCCTTATTTCAGTGTTCCTACTGTTACTCAATCATGTGGGACTGCGTCTGCTCCCCAAATGAATGATTTTAGGAATGAAAACCTAATGACAAAAAGTTTTCCCAGCATGAACTTCCAGCAAAACAATTCACTAAATGCTTTTCTGAAACTGTCTGTGAAACTGCTGAAGTTTCTGACAATTTTGGGGTGGGGCGAGCCAAACCCATAAATTAAGATCTATCCATAAAGAACGATTTGTGATTTTAGCAGTACAAAGTCACTACTCCTCCACCTGAAAACAAGCTCCAACCACAAATTCATCTATCCTTTGAACACTAATCCCATAAATCCACTACCTCAACAGCAATGTACCAGCCACTAGGTCAGGCTTTCCTTTCACCACCAGAGCAGCACATATTCTACCTGTTCCATGTGGCCTAACGTCAAAAAGTTCTCTCTGTGGTACTGCCTCCAGAAAATCAAGAGACAATTCCAGTGAGTGCTGAAGAATAAAACATAAAACACATAAGGCGGAGAAGCCCCTCATCTTACACAGACTATTATACTGCAAACAACTACAAGAAACCATATCTACCCTAAAAATCCACAAACGTTTCCAGTGACTCTCATCTTATTAATCCATTTGATACAGCAACCTCGGATTCAGTTAATATATTTCTCCTCATCATCATTACCACTTTAAAAAATGCTGAACACAAATACCGTTGTTTTGTTTCATCTGACAACGATAACGTTTGCTCCAAGTATTTCTAATACAACAAATGTGTTTATCTGTAAAAATGAGGGGACAGAATGTCGGTACCAGTAAGCCACCATTAGCAGAAGTAACTTGCCTTGTGCCATATGATTCCCTGAGGTTTCGGTCGTTTGCAATTAGTCTTGATAGTTCTTGTTGGAGTGAGTATATAATCCACAGTTAAATCATGATCACCAAGAAGCTCTTCTGCTATGTCAACCACCTACAAGGAATGAGAGATTTGGCATGCAGTTAAAAAAACTCCGTTTACTAAAACTGTGCACCATTCCTGACATCTTGTAACGTGTGAAAATCTGTCAGTGACAGTGGGAACAAAGTAAAAGACACCACACCAATGTTATTCCAAGTCTCTTCTTCAGACATATCATTCAGTATTGCACACTTTTGACTTGTCACTTGAGAGCGGATATTTTAACTTACCTGACAGTCGTGCACAATAGTGATTACAGGTGTATCCTCCTGCACGGCACCCATTGACACCATCATTGCATATTCCATGTCTGCGTAACCTTCCCCTTTTCCAATTCTCCAGCCTAAAATAAATAAAAGTAAAGAGTGATAGTAAACACAGAAACAATAGAGTGGAAAAGTTAACTGTCAAAAAAGATGCCAACTAAATGAAGCAGTCTGCAACAAGATAAAGTAAGCACAGAGCTGTAACTCAGGAAGAATTCACGTGTGTCTCTCACAGGATGTAACTTTCCTTGCAATCAGTGCTGAAACTAAAATAAAACATTAGTTTTAATGAACTTCTAAGGATCCCAGAAGCCTCCCATTCCCAATAAACCAAATGTAGTCGAAGTCAGTTAATATAAAAGCCTATTTACCCACTGTAATTAGAACCCTCTATTCATGTCAAATGCAGGTTAACTTCACGTGGGTAAAGAGGAGGCTGGGTCACATACAAAGAGCGTGATATTTTTAGGCAATGGATAAAGTCAGTGGAAAATTCTTCACCACCAGCAGGTCTTCAAAATTCTAGAAAATGCCAAACCTGATCTACAAGTAGGTACTGAATCAGCAGCTGTCACAAATGTCCTGTTACACACCCTGCGAGAGCAGAGCAGATCATCTCAACAGGGAGCTCTTTTATTCTTTAAAGAAATAACAATAAATTGCCTGCCTGAACAGTCCTACTGAAGGCCAAAACACTGGCCTGCACGCTCTAAACCATGCTGCTGCCTGCCCCGCCAAATCCTGGCAGCACCGTTTGCATTGATTCTTCCTGGTTGGATTGGAATCAGTGACTTGTCACACAGAAAAAAAAGGACTCAAGACCATAATCTGGCTCCAAAGATGTGTTTGGGTCTGCCAAAAGGAACACATAGGGTAGCCTCCCAACACCGTGAATCGTGACTTAGGACCCTCCTCCTAGAAAGGCTTACGAGGTTTATCTTACCTTTTTCAGAGACAGCCACTGATCCTACAACAACCAAGTCCACTCGTGCTTTCCCATCAAGACCTACAGGGACACTATATTTTTTTACACCCTGCAAGGAAACCACAATTTTAGGTTCACGGAGTGTAGAGTCTTTCAACCAGTGAGGCAGAAATCCAGAATATTTTGATAAATCCAAGTAACTCCCCACATTTCAAAGTGTTTCTTCCATGTATAGCCAAGCTGTACACGTCTGGAAAGTTATCCTCCAGGGAATCCCAGAATACATTCCCTATTACAGTGACAGGAATTTTGGCACAGTTCAAGGAGAGCTAAGGGAAGTGAGCATTTTTCTAAGCACAGATACTTATTTAGGATCAAAACGTCATATTTTGGAACCCTTTATTGGACACCTATTTCTAAAAATGAGGGTAAATTACACTTCCTATCCTACTACTATTAACTTCAAGCCTAAATAGGAACAGAAAACCACACAATTCCTGACAAGTGCAATGAAAACCCTTAGAAAAAAAAAGCCCTGTCGTCCTTTTTTCCTTCCCCTCTCTCCAGGCTCATCCCCACCTCCTCTTTTTCAGGCACCTCTCTAAAGAACACATCCTAACAAGGTTCTGTCCAGAGCTGCAGAAATTAAAAAAGGTGTTTATCTGGATTTCCAAACATCAGAGGTTTCAAATCTTTTAAAAGATACCTCGTGATTCATTCACTCCTAATATATATGTACAGTGTAATAAATCCTCCTCACATCAACCCAACTTTGCACTAAGCTAATCCCCACACTAAAAAGACAAATATTTTCTGTGTAGAGCACAAAAAGATCAGTAATTTGTGGCTGACTATCAGTAACAATGCTCATTATCTGCTTCAAAGCAGCGTGGTAAGAATTGTTTGCACAATGTTTTGTAAATATAAACTGCTAATAGCATTTATTCATGCCTGGTTGGCAAGGGGGAAAAAAACAAACACATGGTTGTAAGATCACAGATCAGATATGAAGCCTGAAGCAGGTCAAGAGAAAGATCTCCTTCCAAAGTGCTGTTGAGTCCTGAAAAGCTTAATTAGTTAATGACTTTAATGGAACTTCCAACAAAGAAAGTCACTACGAATTACCATCTATTTACAACCCTCATTGTATACAGGATCACTGTAGAATTTTATTGCCTTCAGAAGGAGATAATGAAAAAAAACGATATAACTGGCTTGTTGGTTTTATACAATTTGTGTTTTCATATCAAATAAAGACGTGTATAAAATAACGCAGGTTTCTCTGACAAGTTACTTTAGCGATACAGTATAATGTTTTAACACCAGAGGGCAGCAACATACCGCATTTCAAAAGAAAACGCGGTGGTTTTTTCGGACCTCAGCTGATGCAAAAGACAGAATTAATGTTCCTTTAGACTTAGGATTCTAAACCAACTGACCTATTCTCTTTAATAAAACCTAGTATTTTATTGGCCAGATTATGCAAAAACTGTAAACACTAATATATTCCTTATAGGGTTTGCTAGCTCAAAATTGCAGAATATAGGAATGCTATTCATTAGAAGCTCAAAGATCTACCTCACCTACAAAAGTTGTTCCTAGTATTCACAAAACATCAGCAATCTGTTAGCAAAATAACAGCAAAAAGACTAAATTTCCTCATGATTTATGTACCACCAAAAAAAAAACAATGGTGGATGTGTAGTCAAATCAAGGAATAACATATTAGCAGAACAATATTTCAGGCAGCACCCGGTTTTCCAACTTTTAGTCGGACTAATGCAACCTAAAACTCTTCTACAGATTAATTCAGAGCTCCTCCATTTTTCATTCCTACTTGTGACGTAGCGCATATTCGCAGGATCTCCTTAGTTGCATCCAGAGGTGGAACAATCTTATTGAACAGCCCAGTCCTCAGGCGTGGGGTGGGAACCAACAAAGTCTTCCTTGCCTGTGTAACAAAAGAAGTTATCATGTTAAGAAGAGGTGGGCCACTAAAGAATGATTTTTATTGTCCCGTAGATCTCCATGCGGTCCATCATCTCCAGAGCAGTGGCATCATGTAGTGCTTGTAGATGAATCCCCTCCAGCACAGTGAAATGCCAGAGAGATTTTATTTAAGAAATAGATGGCAAGACATACCTCCTGATCTAAAGGCCATGTCCACAAATGAGCTACACATCTAAGCTAGGTCTGAAGTAAGTCTGTCACACGTTCAGCCTGTGATAAATGTGAGGCAATTTGAGGCAAGGCTAAGGGAATAAGAATACAGCAGCGATGAAACAGCTATTGCTCTGCAGAAACATAGTCATGCCCTCAGACCCTGCCCTGCCCCTCTGCCTGCTGCCAAAAATGAGCAACACCCTCACACCAGCAACCTCAGGAGGCTTAGGACTGGCAAAGCTCTCGGTGGAAAAATGGCAGGCGTTGACGATGAGATGCCACCAAGCACTGCACTGTTGTCCCACTCTCCTCCTTGGGGGCACAAAGGTGCTGTTACCTGCAGCGCAGCTAGCCGAACGCCTTCTAGGGGTTTGTCAGGATCCACTTTAATCTCACGTGCTCTGTGGAACACATCCAGCTCTTTAATAGAGCAGCAAGCCTGGTAAGAGCCCTGCATGAAGAAAGGAATTGAGAGAGAAGAGAATATGTTCACTTACTTCCAGCGTTAAAAAGCGAGCGTTCTTCTGGGGAGCATCAGGATTTATTTTTACAGTATTAGCGGCTTTGAATTCTTGTAAACCCTGCAGCCTTGTCGCAGCATGGGCGGCACCCTGTTTTCATAAAATACGAGTGCATCACTAAGGAGTTTACAGCAGACATGGGCAATTTACAGCATTTCATCCTACAGGGAGGCTGATTTCCCCAGATTTTAAATATGAGGGACATACTGCTAATTTTTCTCTATGGGAAGCTCTCACATATTCACAAAACTATTTTGGCCATTGGTTCTTCTGTATAGGGCAGACAGGTGGGTGCAGACCTTGATCTTGGATTAAAAGAGGCAGGTGACAAAGTGGTGGCCTGAGTAACTGAACATATAGAAGACTTCTTCTTCCTTCTACCCACTGAAGCAACACAACGAAGCCAGAGCTGGAGAAGGGTTCTCCCACTGCCGCCCAGCAACACTTTGCCAGCAATAACTCAGCCACGATTCACATTTTAGCAGCACACTAGGCTAAATCCTACACGATTTATTACTCAGTATTTAAATGGAGGCTATGAAGAAGACAGAGACTCCCTTTTTACAAGGAGTCACATGGAAAAGATGAGGGGTGATGGGTACAAGTTACTCCTGCAGAGACTCCCATCGGACACAAGAAGAAAAGTTTTCACAAGGACAGTCAGCCACTGGAATTATCTGCCCATGGAAGTGGTGGGGTCCCTAACATGGGATATTTTTAAGATTCAGCTCAACAACGTGCTGCGAAAAAGACGGGACCAGATGATCCTTGCGGTCCCTTCCAGGCTGGTATTACATGATGCTGGGTGACCTCAGCCTCCCAGCCCAGCAGACCCTGAAGGCCCTGGGCAGTGAAACGCTGCTCCAGATGCCTCAGTTTCCCATTCTGAATGCCTCCTTTTCTCCATGCATAAAACTATTTAGCACGTTCACGAGGCGTTTTGGTATCCGTTGACTGGCACCCGAGTAGCGGCGTACCAATGACTGCATTTCTCGACTCACTATAAACTACACATACGTGTATAATTCTGTATAATTCTGCCGTCGCTCACCA